CCTTTTTGGTGGTAAACTGGAGGTAAGAGTCTCACAGACTTTCCTGCCCAGGCTGGCTTTGAATTGCAATCCTCAGATCTCAGCCTCCTAAAGTAGCTAGGATTACAGGCATAAGTCACTAACACCCTGCTAAAACTAGTTTTATAAATCAAAAATTTTAAACAAAACCAACCAAGTGCTATTCCAAATAGCTGTGCCTGGATGGTTTTCAGCCTACCCTTGAGGCGAACAATGCAAGAAAAGGCAACCAGGTAGAAGAGGCAAAAGGCAACAGCTAGGCAACCTTGTGCACCTAGTCCTGAGACCACGGAGGTCAACAAAAGCAAGAAGGGGCCATGTCCACAGCCTCTAAGACCACTGAAGAAGCAGGAGATGGAAGCTATGCCCGTGGATAGCTAGAGTTTCAGGTAGCCACTTCTTTCTATGAGTATCAAATATCACTACTTAAAGGGATTACTGGTTGTTAATAGCTCCCCAGCTTTTTGGGGGTTAGGGTTTTAGAATGAGCTCCCTTTAAAATGATTTCATTATTTTTAATGCTTTTTTTTTAAAAAAAAAGACTAATCACTGACAATGAGAAGAGTTTAAAATAGAATTTTAGGCTCCTAGATTTTAATAGCCCTAGAAAAACTCCATTGTTAACTCACAAGCAGCTGCATACGTCTAAAAAATCACTGTGAGACTTGGCAGAGTTCCTTAAAAAAAAACAAACTTGAAGCTCAGCAAAAAGTTAAATAAATTATCCTTGAAAAAAATTCCCCAAATGCTTAGGAGCTAACTTCCAAGGGAATTTTGGCCATCCAAATGATTGTGCAGCACTAGCTTTCTAACAGTAAATTTACAGAACTGATATTTGAAATAGTCCAAGAATGCACAAAGTAGTGCTCTAATCACCAGACAGCTCAGCTAGAGACTTGACTGACTTTCTCTCCCCTCCCCCTTCCTCTCAAGTGAATGCTTGGGCCAGTGGGATATTCAGTCACTGATAACATTCAAAACTCAGGAGTCCCCATGAGCTACATATGAGACCCTCCAGAGAGCTTAAAAAAAAGTCATCCTTGGCTTTCATCCCAGAATGGCCCAGAGTCTCAGAGGGTGAAGGGTGGCATCAACAAAGGCATCGGCTCCCGAGGTGACTGTAATGTACAGCCAGAATTGGGCACCACCGATACAGCAAGTGACATTTAGCAGATCAGAGGGAAAAGATAATGTGAGTGCATCTTCAAGTACTTGATTTGACATCTGTTCCCTGACAGCACGCACTAAAAACTAGAAATGGACTTTAAGAGCCAGAAAGCTATGCTACTGGATCTCAGGAACGATTGGGTTGAAAGGTTTTCCATTGATACTTAACAACTTCACTGTTTCTGAAGAAAAGCACACAGCAAAGATTCTCAGCCAGAGATTGATCAGCGGTCTAGACAAATTCTCAAATATACTCCACTTAGGCCAAGTTTTCTTGGAGTCTGAAGAAACAGCAACAGCAAGCACTACTGCAAACTATGGCTATAAGAAGACACAGCCCAGCAAGGCGCTGGTGGCTCACGCCTGTAATCCTAGCTACTCAGGAGGCTGAGATCTGAGATCGCGGTTCAAAGCCAGCCCAGGCAGGAAAGACTGTGAGACTCCTATCTCCAATAAACCACCAGAAAACCGGAAGTAGCGCTGTAGCTCAAGTGGTAGAGCGCTTGCCTTGAGCTGAAGAGCTGAGGGACAGCGCCAAGGCCCAGAGTTCAAGCCCCACGACCGACAAAAAAAAAAAAGAAGAAGACACAGCCCCACCTGCATTAAGAAGCTTCAGGAGCTTTAAAAAAAAAAAGGGCCACTCTTGGTTCATGCTCCAGGACAAATCAGAGGCTACTACCCTTGCCCCCTTTGCTCATCTAGACTGGGGACAGCCACCAGGAACCACTTCTGATGCTTGAAGAAATGCCAACTCATATCTAGATGAAAGGACAATTAGTGGAATCCTCATCCTAAACCAGTATGGATCGATTTAGGAGTCCCAGTCATTACTGCATCATTACTGGTCCAACTGCAGAGCTGGAGAGTGAGCTAAGATATGTGGGGTGGATCTCACACACTCAGGAGAACCCTTGTGTCACAACAAGAACATGATAACACCTTCACTTTAGCTGCCTGCTAATTGGAGATGGTTCCGGGCCTGGCATGTGCAGATGGCAGGGCCACAAATATCTGGCAAGCAGGGCCATGTGGGCCTGGTTCAAGCCCTCTCCTGTGGTTTTCTGGCTGTAACAAGAAGAAAATGGCTGGCAGTCATGGGAGGCCCTAGAGAAACCCCACCAGGCAGCTTCTCTAGAAAGTCTGGTATGTCTATATTCAAGGAGGCTCCCCTCCTCATCAGGGGGAGATTTGGGACTCTTCTATATCAGTTAAACCTCAATGTGGTTCCCATAGCCTAGGAGCTATATCTTTCTTTAAACCCCTCATCATCCAGGCTCTAGCATCCTTTAAACTTGGGAAGCCTGGTGAGCCTCACTCCACAGGAAATCCCAACACCTGGCACAAACGGCTCGCTCAAGAACAAGGGTGCACCACAGAAATGTTTGCTATTTTGAATCAAACATTGAGCTATTTAATCATTTTTGGGTCACACATCACTGTGCATAGCAGAAGCCATAAATGCTGATGTTCCAAAGATACAGTGCAGCTCTGTAGACACAGGAGCCCTGGTTACAGAGCTAATTCTGAAGATCTATGACTTTTAGAGAGGCTTTGTTTCTTTGCTTGATGATATTACTATGCATTTAAGGGCTTTGAACATTTGTCATTTTCTGCACCTTCTATGTGCTATTTCCTCAGCCTGAACCCCATCCACCTTACCATCTAGACCTAAAGCACACTCATCCCTCAGAGCCCAGTAAGAATGCTACCTCATACCCCACCCCCATACACACACAAGCCAGGGTTCTTTGCCCTTCTGGGTTCAGAAGCAGTCTGCTGGTCCTTGATTATGACACCAGCTTCTATGTTCTGTGTTACACTAAGCAACTGCTTTCTGTCTTCTCTCCATGGCAACTTCTCTGAAGGACAGAAATATTGATTTGGTCACCCTATGGCTAGATTATCAACAGTGGCTGGATATAGGAGAGAGTGAGTGTAGATAAAATAATGAACTCAAGGCCACACAGAAGCTATCACCTCAAGTGCAATGGACCATGAAAACACTCTACCACAATTGACACTAGTAACAGAAAATAATTTGTGTCTGTGCCTATTTCTGGAGATGGAGCCGATAGGCCATTGGCCTGCAGGAGAACCATGCTCAGTTCCCCATGGGACACATCTAAACCAGCAAAGAAAGGCACTCTGCCCTCCTTCCAAGGATAAAACTTGAATTTACATGTAACATGCTATACTCCAGGCATGGGCGGGGTGAAGCAGATTGCTTGTGGGCCTCCAAGCTGCAGTCTGCAAATGAAGAGAAGCCTGGGAGACATCCCCAAGCCTCACCTAAGGGGCTTGCTGTTGGTAATACTGCAGGTGCACAAGCCCTGCGAAGGTCTTGAGGTTGCGGTCGGCTTGGTCGCCTAAGGAGAGCAGTACTGGGGAGGAGCCCATGCTCTCCTTATATCTAATCATTTATCAGGCACACCACCAAATCTGCAGCTAAGAGAGATGTCCATTTTACCAACTGTGAGCTTGTAGGCAAGAAATGCAAGTGGCTCTACAAAGTCTCCCAGTGCTCCTTCCCAACCTCCCCCACCCCCCACCATCCTCAGGTGCTCTTCACGACCCTGGGAAGATTCAGGAAGTAAGGAGTAGGGAAAAGACAGAGGCATACACTTTGCCAACCCTCACCCCAGACTCAGTCACAGGAAGCCAGGATAACATGACAGACAGCACAGACTCAGAGAGTCCCCAGCTAGGGGGGTTATCTTAGTTAAGATGGGTCCCTTCAGCCTGGGCTTTCATACAACACTGCCTACAGTAGAGACACAAATCTGCCTTTCCTACTCACTTCAGCTCACCTGATGTTCACACCCTCTGTGCTCCAGCCCAACAAAGGGTCTATTCCATCCTCTCTCAGCTTGGCTTCTGCTCACCGTGTACTGTTATTCCCTTGGGTTAGAGGTTCTGCCTGACTGAACTGTCATACCTCAGATCTATTCCACCCTTCAAGAGCCAGGTCAAGTATCCATAGATGGTCCTAGATGCCCCTCCCAGCTCCTGCACACTATCTCTTCATGTGCCCTGGGGCTCTGGCTCCTTGTGAGAAGACCATAACACCTAAGCCATTCTTCTTGGCAGGGACTTTACAAGATAGGACCAAACTCAGCTTCCCAGGCCTTTCAGTGGATATATTCTAGATTAGAAACAAACTACAAGAATGGTAGTCATATGCACTGCTGGATTTCAGCTTCTGCTATTACCAGAGGTACAAATGGGCTAAGGAAGACTAAGAACATGTTTGTGGGGAAATATTCTATGTTAAGAGAGACACTGTGATCAACAATGGCAATGACTAATTATTGGGCCTAGTATCCTGCAGAAAGCATGTTTGAGGCCATGGGGAACCAGGCAGGTGGGCTACAAAGCAACCAGAACTGACTCTTAGGCCTCTTAACAACTGCCTAGCACAAGGAACTGGTAGTCTACTGCCCTGAATGGGCTAAGCATTTGGCTGTGTATGGAAGGCACAGGTGGGAGCCACCTCGGGTAGAACAAAGTGGAAGAGGACCATGTTTCACTTCTGGTCAGGTAGTGCTGTCTACTCTGAAGGACAGGAAACTACAATGTCCTCCCCTGGAGTGTCCCCTGTACCAACACAGAAACAGGCATACCCAATTCCCAGCACTCAGAGTGTGGTTTTTAAGCTACAAAGTCACCTTACTACATGTAAACGGGAATCCTAAACTCTGGGTAAAATCTGGAAGTGGTACAAATACATTTGTTCTGTCTGTGATGTCACCAGCCATGGTGGTGTCAAATGCAGGCCAGGTCTCTTTGATCAGGAGCAGGAAGAGAACAACACCTACTATTTCTTTTTCCTTCCTCTCCTCCCTCCTCCTCATTCTCCGGATCGATGTCCTCTGCCTGGGTGATCCAGTCCAAGTAGCCCTTAAGATCCTCTTCCAGTTGCTGCTTCTCTCGAAGCTTCTGGAAATCTCCCCGGGCTTTTGCTTTCTCTCTTTCCTTGGAGAATTCTCTGAAGGAGGCAAAGAGAACAAACACCTTTCAGGACATCCTTGGAGACCTGCACGGTGAGCCATCTGCCCTGCTGCACAATGGTCTCAGTGGCAGGACACACAGCACTCAGTAGAGCTACATGAGCACAGCAATGGAGCCACATACGTGTACAGGACAGAAGACAGTGTCTTCCTAAGCAAGACTGTGGGTGCCAGAGTTGCAGAGACCACACTAACACGCATGCATCATTGGTTAGGAAGTGAGCTCCCTTCAGGATGGCAATGATCCCAGGCTAACAGCACCAAGTGCTGTCACAGTAGGCCTCTGACATTCCCCACTAGGCCCACAACTCAGAGATGGCCCTCATTCTTCAGAGCCTCCTATGATATCCAGCACTGCACTTCCAAGAGAAGGGACCCAAGTAGATTAAGTGCAAGTCACCCACCCAGTTTAAGGCTTCTTCAGTAAATTCGGATAAAACTTTGTATTATGTACTGACCTCTTTGTCAACCCAAGATCTTTGTCAGGGGAGTAGTCATTCCCAATTTCCACATGAGGATCCCCTCCCCAGCACCTGTAGCTTCAGAGCAATGAAAAGGGTCTGGGCAGACCCATGCTAGATGGTTGCTAGTGCCCAGGTCTCCCTTTCCAGGCAAGAACTAGAGAGTAGATGAAACGCTGCTGTTTTTCTTCACCCTTGGTTCTGGCCATGATGCCTCCCAGAAGGTCTTCCCTCTAGGAGGCAAAGAGGCAGTGCCATCTGTTGCCCACTTACGGGAACACCTGCCCTGGAAAGGCTTTGGCAGAAACACAAGTGTTCCCCGCTGCTTGCTGTTTACTCTCCCTTCCATATCTACAATCCTATATCTTCGCGCAGACACAAACCCCTGTACTTGTTCAGGCAAGTTTGGGTCTGGTAGACAATTACAAGGAACTATTTGCATTTTCAACTGTGAATTGCTATAGGAGCCAAAATATTTGGATTATGGATTTTGGAAGTACAATTCAAAGCTGTTAGGAAGCAAGTGAGATAACAGGCTAGCAGGCTTCTTCACATACACCCCAAACTCTGATGCAGCTACCACTGTCTCCTGTTGCGTGCCTTCCAAGCCAAAGTGAGCATACCTCCAAGGACCTCTAACTTAAACTGATGATAGGGGAAATGGCCTGCTTTCATCAAGCCATCCTCCACCCCCCCTCCCCATCTCCTCTCTTAACTACAGGCCTTCAAGGGACTGAATAGATACTTGAACAGCCAGAGAACCCAGTGTTTCAGGTAATAAAATGGAATCCTTGCCAGGGCCCACAACAAGAAAGGACTACTTTGACAGTTCTATGCCAGCCTACTTTTGCATCCCAAGAACTATCCTTGGCCTCAGTAGGGCTGCTGTCTCCACCCTGTCTTCTGGAAGGGCAGGAAGAGGCAAGACTGTGGATGCAACTCACTGGCAGCCTTGGGGGTTTAGAGGGTGTTCAGGACCCAGACATTGGCTCAGACCTTCTAGCCCAAAGGCATTTCTTTCTCCAGAGAACATCTTCTTCTCAAGAAAGAAGGGACTTGGAGGGCAGTGTCTCGCTGCTCTCATAATCCATGCCTTGAGAATGGTCTGGGCTTCTAAAGATAAGAGAAATTCATACCTCAGCCCTGAGTAAATTCACCAAATTACTTTAACTCTGAAAAAGTCACATTCAATCCAAATCACCTCCCTGAACAGCGACAGGAGAAATTGGCATTCCGAGTGCCTACAAGAAATTGCATTATATAATCTGTTTTCTTACATGCATTGTAAGGAACAAGTGGATCTCCAATTATATTATTTACCAAGAAGTATCCCCATACAAATCTTTTTCTAGAGCTCTGTTTTTGCTACAGACACTCTGACCTGATTTCAGACCATTTTAAAGGGTTTAATACCTACCAGGCAGGTAACATGACTGAGATTTACATGGAATAAATTGCCTGCTGACCACAGGATAGGATAGAGGAAGAGGCAAGGAGGCAGAGTCTCTGAAAAACCAGGTGTCCTCCATAGTCTCCTAGACTGCTTAGGACTCTGAGTCTGAAGACCTGGATTCTAAACTCCAAGCTCTGTTTTCTGAGCTTCTGTGTTGTTGTTGTTATTGTTCATTTTCTCAACTTGCAACATAGATACAATAACATCCGTTCAATTGCTTGGACAGATTAAGATATTCGGGGAGAGGATACTTCAGAAAACAGAAAGCACTGTATCAATGGGAAGTTCAAGTCTTGAGTATTTTTTTGTTGTTGTTGACTCTTTGCATAGGAGAGAGAAATTTTAAAGGTCATTGGAGAGCTTTCTCAAACAAAAAAAGGTAACCTTTGGGAACAGTTTGGAATAGATTCTACAATGCCATGATCCCACGGATTGGGAGGCATACAGAAAGAATGCCTGGGAGCAGAGGGCAGAGTGACTATGAAGAGGCAGCACCCTGTCTCAGTCCTGTATCCTGCTTATTCTCACAACAAACCTGTGGGAACTCCCACCTCATGTTCATTGTTTCTGCTAATGACTTCAATGGATGATGATTTAAAAAAAAAAAGACTCCATTTTGCATAGGATGTGGCCGCCTCCTTAGGAGGCTCATTAACAAGGGATTAAATAATGGTTATTATTGCAAAAGTTTAATAGATAGAAGTTTATTGATAGAAATGATCGGACTTTCGCAAGTAGATAACAAAAATTCAAAAAATATTTCCTACATGCTAGGAAACTACTTGCTGTGGTCCACAGTTTTGTGGTATGTGACTGAAAGAAAACATAAAGGTACCTGGACGAAAGTGCATGTGGAAGGCTTCCCTTTGCATATGAAAGATGAGAGAATAGTAAAACACATTTCTGTAGGATATATATGAAAAATAAAGCAGAAAACAAGCACGTGGACAAATGGAATAAAAAAAAATAAAGGATAGAACGTTACCCCTAAGTATATCTTTTTGTAAAGTTATGACTTTTGGAACTAAATGTTCTTCATATTAAAGATTTAAAAAATTTACCTCAAGGATGAGATAGAGTGAAAATCCCTCTAAACTGAAAATGAACTGAAATCAATGCAGCTGATTATATTGTTTGTATGTCTGTGTGTGTCTGTGTATGTGTCTGTGTCTGTGTGTCTGTGTGTGTTTTACGCTGGAGCTTCTTAGCTTTTTTTCTTACTAGCACTCTATATTTGGGCCACAGCTTTATTGATGGTTAACTGGAGATTAAAGTTGCATGGGCTTTACTGCCAGGATTGGGTTTGAACTATGATCCTTAGCTCTCAGCTTCCTGAATAGCTAAGATTACAGGCATGAGTCCCAAGTGCCCAGCTTCTGATTGTATTTTTATGAATATCACATGCATACCGAAGAAGAAAGACAAAGTAATTGAAGAGATTGTGACCATTCTGTGTGCTGTCAGTCTTAAGCAGAGATATGGATGAGACAACTCAGAAATCAATTTTAGCTGCATTAGAGGACTTAACAAATGAATAAATGTGTTGATGTTATCACTGTGGAAAACTGGAGAAACATGGAATGAAGAAAGACTAGATAGAACCTTTTGGAGGGTAGACTGGAATTAATAGACATAGCTGAGCACCCAGAATTTCTAAAAGGTTTGCTCTAAGCCTAATGTCTGATTTTTAAAAAGATGCTATTAGGAGTATATGTATTAATGTAAGTATATAGCTAGGTCTGTAGAAATGTGTGTGTCCTACTTCTGTCTGTCAAAAGGATGCAGAACACATCTGATGTCCATATCTTGGTCTTTTATAATGTTCTTCATAATCTCAGCACTTGGGAGCTAAGGCCAGAGAAGTGTGAGTTCAGGGAAAGCATGTGCTATGTAGTGAGACTATGGTTTGTTGGTTTTTCTTTTTTTTAACAAAAACTGTTTTTAAAAAAGAACAGAAAGGCATAATGCCTATGTGCATCTGATCAAACAAAATAATATCCATCAAAATAAACTCCAGGAAATGTAAACAAGAAGTTTTTCTCTTTTTTTGCTGTTTTTCTTTTCTTTTTGTTCTGTTTGTTCATTTATATTTGGAAGTGTACGGGGAGGCACAGAAATGCAGGAACAAAGGGTAAACAAATGCAGCAATGGTACTCACTGTAAACCATATTGAAAATGAACTATACAACGTGTGGGCAGGGATGAGAGGGAAAAACTGGGAGAGAATGAGGGAAGGGGTGACACTGTCCAAAAGAAATGTTCTCTTTACCTGGTTTATGTAACCATAACCCCTCTGTTTGTAACCTTTAAAATAACAATTTAAAAAAATTAAAAAAGAACCCAAGCTGTAAGGAAAGAAAAAAGCCAATCTGGGCAGAAAAGTCTATGAGATCCCACCTCCAATTAACCAGCAAAATTCCAGACTGGAGGCAAAACTCAAGTGGTAGAGTGTCAGACAAATGAGCAAATCAAGTAAGTATAAAAGCCTGGATCCAAATCTGCTGCTGGTATGAAAACAAATTACCTCAGAAACAAGAAATGACTTCTTTTTAAAGACAAATATCTTCCGAGAAATAGCTGATTCCAAGACTGGGCCAAATTAGGTACCAGATGGAGAAAATAAGGAAATATTCAAAAGCAAAAACATTCAGAAAGACATTCCATAAAGACACAGGACCTAATGGATACTGATGGCTCATACCTATAATCCTTGCTACTCAGGAGGCTGAGATCTGAGGATCTTCATTCAAAAACAGCCTGGCTAGGAAAGTTCATGAGACTCTTATCTTCAATCAATCAGAAAAAAAACCAAAGTGGAGCTATGGCTCAAGTGGAAGAGCACCAGCCTTGAACAAAAAAGCTAAGGGACAGTGTTAGAACAGAGGAAAAAAGTAGTTGGGGGTGGTGGGTGGGGAGAAGATCCATGAGCACCTCCTACTGGCCAAATCTGAAAAAAATAGAACAAAATAACTAAAAAAGCCAGGTGCCAGTGGCTCATGCCTGTAATCCTAGCTACTCAGGAGGCTGAGATCTGAGGATCTCCGTTCAAAGCCTAGGCAGAAAA